ACATGGGCAGCAGTGTTTTATCAGATATAAAGATACGAGGCGAAGTCATGTATCTTTAGGTCTGATAAAACACGCACTGCGAATGTTTTAAATCGCTTCAAAAACGATCGATCTAGTAAGTTCATTGGCGAAGTAATTTTCAAAAAATACGTTGTCTAAGTCGAGAAATCAAAGTTAAAGTTTATGTGAATCAAGGGAAATCTCTATCACATACGACACGCTTATGATTTTTCTTTGTGTTTTCCTCATGAATTATTGAGTTTTTGAAGAGTAAAAGTTACGATAAATCCCACCCCTGACTGACCCGGCGTCACATTGTGCTTTACAGGCAGATGAAATTCAATCCAGAAAACACGAAGCTATGCATGGGTACATACTTATTCAAAGCATTTCCAAACTTTCCAAATGGATCCCCGGCTGCGCCACCATCCCCAGGAAAAACATACAAGTATTTATCTTTACCAAACAACAGTTGGCCACCATTGTGATTGCCTTTAGGTTGCTCTATGCTCATGAGAACTTTTTCGGAGTGCTGGTCAACACGATTCAAATCCGCCCCAGAGACCCGCCACTCGCTAAGGACTGCGACACTAGTGCCCAACCACCATTCTTTGGGATCCGTTTTCTTCTTGTTGCCGACTTTTTTGGTGATGTAATAAACAAAGAGACGACCATTTTCCCTGTATTTTGGGTGAAATACCATCCCAAGTAAGCCACGTTCGTCACCAAAAGCTGAACTGGTTAAGACTTTTGATCTAATATCCATAAATGGCGTGTCTAGTTTGCGTTCGTTGGGTAAAATTACGTAAACCAGTCCGATTTGTTCGACTATGAACATTCTGTGGGTTTGGTCATTCGCATGAAGTAACGCTAAAGGATTACGTAGATTGTGGATCACCTACAAAACAGATAGGATTAATATGTTTGTATATTTTCTCTCAAATTATATATATATGAGTGAATTGATAACTTGTGCCTAGATACCACTGTTCTGATAATGTAAGCATAGAATGGAACAAAGGTAACCAAGCATTTAAATTATATATGTGAGTGAATTAATAACCCAACATGTCTAGGTACCAGTGGCGTGCTGGCAGGGGAGGCCGCGGGGGGCTACGCCCCCCCCCCCCACAGCTGGCAATTCTTGGGGGACGCAAAAATGAAAAGGGGGCGCCGATCCGGCGCGGAATTTTGAAAGTGGGTGGGAAAAACACATTTGACAAAATATAGTTACTTCCGCCAAGAAAAGATGTGTTTATAGGCTTATAAACAGACTAAGCGCATAGACGACAAAGTGATATATTAAATTACAGACTATTTTGTCTAACCGTATTTGAGTCACGGCTCACACAAAATCGTTCATATAGAAACATGATCAGTGATCACACGCAATGTCTCATTACCAGAATATTGGTCAGGTTTCAAAGCGATCATGGGAATTATGCCCTTTTTTGCTGGTATTATGCCCTTATATTATGTCCTTTATTTGCTTCACGAATCACGAGAGCGGCGCAAATTAGATAGTTATGATAATGTAAAGTTGTGTACTCAATTTAGTTGTTTGTACAAGAAACATTTGACTCATGAGTAACGTAAGTAATAAGATAATGCTAAAACGCATCCTTTTGGCAGCCAAGCAAGGTAACCTTAAAATGCATATGCGTGGGGTCCTTGTGTTATTGTATGAAAGAGCTGTAAGTTGTAAATGTTTCAGATTGAGTCAGTAGAGAATAGAATTGGGAGTAGATTAATCGCTGGAATTAATTAAATTCTAACCAAATTGCGAATTTCAACACGTATTATAATGCCGTTTCCTCACCATTAGATTTCTGTCAAACCTTCCGGCATTTCAGAGACCCTAAATTCAAAAATTTTCCGAGGGGGCATGCCCCTGGACCCCCCTATAGAGAAACCGCGCACCAGCTGTGCTCGAGGCTCGTGCCATCGGCCCTCGTTTATCAAGCGTTGCAATATATAGGGGTGCATAATAGTTGATAGCCCACTGCCCCCCCCCAGAAAAATAGTACCCAGCACGCCACTGCTAGGTACCACTGTTCTGATAATGTAAGCATAGAATGGAACAAAGGTAACCAAGCATTGGTTGGCAACGGCTATAATTAATTACTGTAAAAAATTCTGAAAAAAACTAATGGCTAATCAATTTAAAACTAACACACTCAAATATCATAATATAAAAGACCTTTCGATACAAACCTCGCGTACACATAAACAACCTTTCTGCGTGGCATTCAGTCCCCTGGCAATGTTATCTGGTTTAGAATTCTTCAATTGTCGAACGGTTTTCTTTATTTTGGGATAACATAAATCCTTATTAAGCGCTACCTCAGACTCGCGACAAAAATCACCCAGAGTAATGTTGCGAGTCTTCATCGCGGCTCCGTAGATATACTCGATCGCTTGCGCGCAATGCGTTACGAAATTCGTACAAAATTTCCAACCTAGACAAGGTAGCGCGGCTTTCGCGTTGTAATTTGGATTCGCTTCTACGTCGTATATATGCGCTGACCACGAGTGACATTTCAGGCAGACGACTTTGGACAAATATCTCTTGCATTGGCTTTTGTTTTGAGCGTTAACGGTTTTTAAAGCGGTATCGTAGAGCGCCTTTAATTTGCTGTCATCTCGCTTCGTACAGCAGCCCAGTTTGAAGGAATCTTTACACCACATACGCTTTGCGTTTGGCTTGAATGGCGGCTGAGAATCAAGGCATTGTGGATGCGATTGAACGGAGTAACAAGTTAAAACGAAAACAACCAAAGACAAAAACATCGCCATTGCGCAGTTTTTAAACCACCACATGGACAGTGGCCAAGGAAATGAAGAAATATTACGTCAAGTATATTTGTTTATGGAATATGAAACCATGCATACACTGAATGGAAATAGAAATAATTGGTCTACTACGTATACTTGATGATGGATGCTAACATTACCTGTCGTAATTTCTGTAGTGATAACTGACTAGTCCACTATTTAGGCAGTAAAGATAGGTAAAATTATAAAGATAAATTACAAACATTACAATTATGAATACAAATAAGGATTAATTAATTAATTAATTAATCAGAATATCAATGAATTAATTTGATTATCCCATCATGATTATTATCATTGACAGTAACCACCTCAAGCTCAAGGCACTGAAGGCTGAAGCTAAGGACTCCTGTCTCCTGGATTCAATCCTTGGTCGGAACTCTACTCAAGCTCTTAAAATAATTGAGGAGAAAGAGCTACCTTTACATTGACATCAGTAAATGGTTAAACTTTCGCGTCTTCTCGGATTAGGACGTTAAATCATAGGTAGCCCAGACACAATGTGCGATTTAAATGCAGCTTGGCATACTTAATTACCCCCTGCGGTATCGATTTCAAAATAATAATGTTAACGATTAGCTCAAAAATATTCTGAATTTTTACACTAAAATGTATCACTAATCAATACTTATCGTTGAAGGAAATATACCTAGGTACATAGCATGCATCAGCAAAAATAAATAGTTTATGCCTTTAGTAGAAGCACTTTCTGGCAATAGCTTGTTGGGAAATCAGCCAAACTCAATAAACAATAACAAACGTAACACAGTTTATAACTGTGGTCGTAATCAATATGAAGGTCACGTCATGATGTCATTGCGGTTTCACTCTTAAGTAGATTTCCGCAAACTTGGCATGGCCAGACTGATTTCATATCTTATCACTCTCTTATCACAATGAAAACATTATTTTCTCACATTATTTTTTCACATTAGGGACCGGTCATTATTTATGGCGGGGGGTGGCGCCGAAGAGAAAAGGGTTGGGTAAACAAAATTTTGACTAAAAGGTTGGGTAAATGTAAAACAAAACTACTCAAGGGTTGGGTAATAAAAATTTATTGTCATTTCCAAAGCATGACTGACTCAAATATTGAAGACTAAAAAGCATGAATGTCAACAGTCATATGTCATTACAATATCACAGTCACTATCTTGATCATTTTCTGATTTGTTAGGAGGCAAATGGTGTCTCCAAAGAAAGTACATGTGCAGACAATATGAAACTTTAGACTGCAGAAAATTGCACAAGCAGTTATCAAACTCATGTCACAGAAGTGGTAAAGGACATGAGAGACAACTAAATGACATCCTTTTTCAACGTTTTTTGGCCAGGGGTGGGTATTTACTGTATCTTTTAATGGATACTTGAGGTTGGGTAAAAACTGTTTTTGACTTCTTAATGTTAGATGAGAAAAATTTTACCGGAAGAAAACATTTCTTTTTCGGTGCGACCCTCCGCCATAAATGACCAGTCCCTAACTGCAGGTTTACTACCGTCTATTTTACTATTCAATTAGCACTTCGATTGCAGGTTCGTTTCAGCGCATTAGTCACTATATAGACCTGACCTGAGGATATTTACAATTTGACAGCAGCAACATTTCCATTGCTACAGACCCGGGGGTTGATAGGGTTTGTTTTTCATTGAGGCCATTTTGAACTTTGGGATCGCAGTAGCGAGGTAGGACCTATAGCAAGATGGCACAGTTGTTAGTGTATATCAGTGCATTTCACTTCGGTAGCCTGTTCGCAGGCTAAAATGATGGCGGTTCAATTTCTGAAATACGCAGTTGTCGGATTGTAATTTCATCTCAGTTACATGCGAGAAGAGTGGACCTCTGGTGCTCTAAGATAGGATACTCAGACTCAGATATTTTAGCTATACCCAGTAGAATAAAGTTAGTTTAGTTTAGGTTTCCTCTTGTAGTAACACTGTAGAACTGAGAGAGCTAACCAGTATAAAAAAAATTAATTTAGTTTAGGTTTCCTCCTGTAGTAACACTGGATCAATAAGAGATGATCCTTACTGGACCTCTAGGAAGAACAGTTTAGAACTGATAGAGCTATCCAGTATAAATAAAGTTAGTTTAATTTAGGTTTCCTCCTGTAGTAACACTGGATCAATAAGAGATGACCCTTACTGGACCTCTAGGAAGAATTAACACTTTAGAACTGATAGAGCTTTCCAGTATAAATAAAGTTAGTTTAGTTTAGGTTTCCTCCTGTAGTAACACTGGATCAACAAGAGATGATCCTTACTGGACCTCTAGGGAGAACAGTTTAGAACTGATAGAGCTATGTAGTAACACTGGACCAATAAGAGATGATCCTTACTGGACCTCTAGGAAGAACAGTTTAGAACTGAGAGAGCTATATATACCCAGTAGAATAAAGTTAGTTAAGTTTAGGTTTCCTCTTGTTGTCTACCATGGATCAATAAAAGATGATCCTTAGTGGACCTCAAGGGAGAACAGTTTAGAAATGAGCTACCTAGCGGTATAAAGTTAGTTCAATTTATTTCTAGTCTCGAACGGCACCAATACTTACCTAGCTCTATTTGCCATTTCATCGGGACTCCACCTTGGGCTGTATGGATAAGTGTCATCGATGGCATGATAAGGCTCATCAGCGAAGCAATGATAAATTGACTTCATTACAAACACTGGTTGTTCCTCGGGAAAATTTCCTACAATCTCAACTGGAATGGAACAAAATAAATGAGTGTTTACTTAGATCATTATGTTGTAAAAAACACTTTTATCATAATTTTATTTCGTCATAAAGCCAAGCATAAGTGCAAGATTTTGAATAAATTGTTGTAAAAATATGTCGTTATGAAATATACAGTACATACTTGTTAGAATGCAGAAGAAATTCTCGAGCTGCATGAGGAAGGATATCGTAGAAAATGCTTCCGCGTCATATTCGAGAACACAGCTAAAGAAAAGCTAAAGTTAATTTTCAGGGGCACAAAGCCCCCCTCCTGCCCAGCCAGGTCTGTGGATTCGCAGATTACTTCATCCCAACACACGCCTCCCCCCCCACCCCCATAGTAAAATCACTGCGCGATCCCTGTAAAATGCGATCTGATTTAAAGTGTCGGTTGAATTCGCATTTTTTCACCTTCGTGATTTAAATGTTCTTCCAATCACAAACGTAATATATAATGCATAATAATTAACATGCCAAAGTTGGTTTTACACACCCTGTATATCCGGTGGATAGCGATATCTTAATATACAGAACTTTTACCAGCGGCAAAATGAATGAAAAAATGTGTTCACATACGTGCCATAAGCGCTGAGAAAAGCGGCGACATAGTTTCTCCTGCGTTCATAACTTTTTATGATTTCATCGATCTGTTAAAGTAACATTTAAAGAAAATATCATTTGGTCGTTTTAGAGTCACGATCTTTCTCAACGGCCAGTTTATAATATAATTTATACCTGTAAACCACATATAAATATCCTCTAATTCTAATCACTTCGCGTATTTTAATCATTTGATGTTTATTGAAACTCTCTTGCAGTATTTACATTCAATTAACGAGTCCAAAGTACTAATAAAACTATTTTTACAAAAATGAATGAGTACATATACTGTACCTGTTAAAACTATGTATAAGCATTAAAAATATTTAAAAGTAAAAAATTGTTCTGATCTTAAAGTTCTGCATTTGATTGTGTTCTTAAACAAAACAGTATTGTTTTGCCCATTCAGTTCTAAAATGTTGTATTTCGGCTGATGAGAAGGATCGTGACTCAATCTTTACGACCGTTACGACCATATGGAAACCAGGTTTAATTAAATAAGTTAAATATATTGACACTGAAATAAAGTTATTATTATTATTATCAATTAGCTGTCGTGGTTTGTGCCTGAACTCCAGAAAAGCTCAGGTCGGAAAATAACATGATTTCTCCCACGTTCAGAACTTTCTATACGAGTTTGTGTCTGAACTTGAAAAAACATTTATACATAAAGCCCACGGCGAATGAAACAAGGATGAGAGTTGACAGTCACGTGAGCTTGGTCAGCTGTTCTTAATGCTTTCCCAACACTATCATGTATTCTATTCAAGTTGAAACATACACATGCAGGTAAAAATCTCACATCTTGTAGCGAATCTGGTAACAAGTCGTCAACAAGTTGTTCGCACTGCTTGTCACAAGTTGTCAACAAGTTTGGAACAAGTTGTTAACAATTTGTAACAACCTTGTTAATATTATCAGACTTGTTGCAAGGTTGTTCCAACAAGTCCGATAC